CGTGTGAGAGGCAACCCACTCATACTCATGGGAAATTAAAAGCTTTTTTTTTTTTTTTTTTTTTTGCTTTGATAACATGAAATTCTGTATATCATACATGTTGTCAAGCGCTTTATGAGGCCGGACAGGAGCCAATTAAATGTGTAGCGTTGACGTGTTATATCACAGAAGCCATTTCAGAGAAAAATAAACAGAAATCATACTAAACATGATACGATTAACATTGTATGTTTTTCAGTATACATCTTCAACTTCATTACATCAATTATCTATTTTCTCTTTTTGAAAAAAACTGTATAGCAAAATTATTAGAGTTTGGTGAAATTTTCTGCTAATTAAATGTTTTAGTAATATTTTACCCAATCTTATTTTTTAATTTTTAAAGATTTTAATAGAATGAACTTTATTCTTGCTAAGTAAATCAACTTTATTAAGCAGAAAATTCATTCCCATTTAGAAGTTTTAGAGTAATTTCTGTTTTAGTTTTCTTTAATAGTAGTACTAGTAGCCGTTGGTGATAAAGTTGGGATATCTGTCACTTAGTCTTATTCTCTTAACACTGAAAATGTTACTATAGGTAACCAAGGCTACTATAACGTACTGGAAAAGTGTTTACTTTTCTTGAAAGTAGTGACATGGCAGGCATCTGTTCTATTTCTCTTTCTCAGTTTATTATTATTATTATTATTATTATTATTATTATTACCTCCTATTTGCTAAACTCTGTTCTTAATATCTGCCATTTCCTATGTCTTATCACTTAGGAACACATTTTTAACTATTATATGATTACCTTAGCCAGAACTATAAATATTGGATTTTGACTTCAAAGCATTGTGTATTATGTTTAACTCCACCCTTATGTTTAATGTATCATAACTGACTAGTTTTTAAGGTGAATGTCATTCCCGTTTCTTATTGATAGTTTTGTGAAGATAAGAATGACTTGTCTGACATCTCTCTATCTTCAGAACTCATTTTTAGTGGTATTTTATTAGTTTTAAATTCTTCTCTTCTTTTTCATATTTACACCATGAAAAGTAAAGTCTAAAATTTTAGAATAGAAAATTCTTTACCTTTCTGATGAATAGCTATATTCATCAGAAAATGCAAGTGGCTTTGTAAGAAATTCTTATTGCAAAGATGAGACCTTTACAGATCTGTGCACTGTGGTGCTCAGGGAAGTATTAATACATCACAGGGAAGCCAAAATGATGCTAGACATCAACTTTAATTTTGAATTCTGTTTGAAATGCATGCATGCTTGTATCAGGATCATAATTTTGAAACTTGTAAATTGGTTTATAACAAACATGTAAGTGTGTGTTTATGTGTAGATATGTGTATATAAACATGTATTTATTCATTCATTCCCCTAAGGGGTCACCAGTGGAAGTAACTACAACTAATGATCATGGTAAACAATATAGTGATGGAAAATGGCATGAAATAATTGCTATCAGGCATCAGGCTTTTGGCCAAATCACTCTTGATGGGATATATACGGGTAAGTAATTTTTGATATGTATAAATAGCCCTGTTGATACGTTGGTGTTGCCATACTTTTCTGTTGTTTATATTCCTACATCCTTATTTCACCATCATTTCTACTCAATTTCATCTATATTGCTGTTGAATTTGCCTTTGGGATGCTCCTAAAATGATGAAGTCTGGCAACCAGTTTTTCATCAATGAAGGTCTTCAGTTAAAAAAAAAAAAAAAAAAAAAAGGAAAGAAAAGAATGAAGTCACCTCTGTCTAAGTTACCTATGTCTTTTACAGTTTTCTACAATTTGCATGGACCTTTAGTTATGTTCTCTCATGTTACTTTTGACTTCCAAAAAGCAAGGAAAGTAGAGGAAAGCAGTTTTTGTCTGCATTTGGAGATGAGGAAACCAAGGCTGAGAAAAAAAGTGAATATATTTTCCTAACTTATACAGTTGACAGGAAGCATTCTTGGGACACACATCCTGTTTTTTTTCACATTTAAGTTTAGTTTTTGCTCCAGCCTACCCTATCTGCCACATTTATGTAATTATAACATGGTCACTGTACCTGTATAATAATGCAGGCTTTTATTAAATCATTGAGGAAATACACAATTTTAATCAGTACCTATTATGTTCCAGATATTGTTCTAGGCACTCTGGATACAAGGAGCAAAGAGAACACTGTAAAACTTACATTTTTGGGGAGAAATGGGGCAGCAAAATACAGAAAAAAAAATTTAAACAAATATCAAGTGGTGATAAATTCTGAGAATGAAAAAGCAAGATGAGAGGGAAAGTTGTGTGTGGGTGTATGTGCGGGTGTGTGTGGGTGTGTGTGTTAAGAAGCGTCTCTCTGATATAGACCAATAGAACAGAACAGAACCCTCAGAAATAATACCACACATCTACAACCATCTGATCTTTGACAAACCTGACAACAACAAGAAATGGGGAAAGAATTCCCTATTTAACAAATGGTGCTGGGAAAACTGGCTAGCCACATGTAGAAAGCTGAAACTGGATCCCTTCCTTACACCTTATACAAAAATTAATTCAAGATGGATTAAATAATTAAATGTTAGACCTAAAACCATAAAAACCCTAGAAGAAAACCTAGGCAATACCATTCAGGACATAGGCATGGGCAAGGACTTCATGACTAAAACATCAAAAGCAATGACAACAAAAGCCAAAGTTGACAAATGGGATCTAATTAAACTAAAGAACTTCTGCACAGCAAAAGAAACTACCGTCAGAGTCAACAAGCAACCTACAGAATGGGAGAAAATTTTTGCAAACTATTCATCTGACAAAGGGCTAATATTCAAAATCTACAAAGAACTCAAACAAATTTACAAGAAAAAAACAACCCCATCAAAAAGTGGACAAAGGATATGAATAGACACTCTCAAAAGAAGACATTCACACAGCCAACAGACACATGAAAAAATGCTCATCATCACTGGCCATCAGAGAAATGCAAATCAGAACCACAATGAGATACCATCTCACACCAGTTAGAATGGCAATCACTAAAAAGTCAGGAAACAACAGGTGCTGGAGAGGATGTGGAGAAATAGGAACATTTTTACACTGTTGGTGGGACTGTAGACTAGTTCAACCATTGTGGAAGACAGTGTGGCGATTCCTCAAGGATCTAGAACTAGAAAAACCATTTGACTCAGCCATCCCATTACTGGGTATATACCCAAAGGATTATAAATCATGCTGCTATAAAGACACATGCACAAATAGCAAAGACTTGGAACCAACCCAAATGTTCATCAAAGATAGACTGGATTAAGAAAATGTGGCACATATACACCATGGAATACTATGCAGCCATAAAAAGGAATGAGTTCATGTCCTTTGTAGGGACATGGATGAAGCTGGAAACCATCATTCTCAGCAAACTGTCTCAAGGACAAAAAACCAAACACCGCATGGTCTCACTCATAGGTGGGAACTGAACAATGAGAACACTTAGACACAGGAAGGGGAACATCACACACAGGGGCCTGTTGTGGAGTGGGGGGAGGGTGAGGGATAGCATTAGGAGATATACTTAATATAAATGACGAGTTGATGGATGCAGCACACCAACATGGCATATGTATACATAAGTAACAAACCTGCACATTGTGCACATGTACCCTAGAACTTAAAGTATAATTAAAAAAAAAAAAAAGAAAAAGTCTCTCTGATGAGGTGACATTTGAGCAGAGACCTGAAGGGACAAAGGGGCAAACCATGTAAATATCCAGGAAGAGGATGCTTTCAGTTGAGAGACCAGCAAGTATCAGGGCCCTGAGGTGAGAGCACACTATATGTGGCATGTCAAGGACCGACAAGAGGGCCAGTGTGGGAAAGAGGGTGTGAAAGGGCTAATGACAGGACATAAGGTCACAGAGGCCATTAGGGATTAGATCATATGGGACCTTGTGGACTTTTACTGTGAAAGAAGGAAACTGTTGAAGGATTTTGAGGGAAGAATGACATGATATGACTGCTTTCTTTAAAAGAATCACACTAGCTGATCTTTTGAGAATAAATTATACGGGGAATGAGGATGAAAGCATGGAGATCAGTTAATAGGCTTCTGCAATAACTCTGTATTAATTCAGACAAGAAATCATGGAGACCTGAACAAGGGTGATAATTGAAGATATAATAAGAAGTATTCAGATTCTGGTTATATTGTGAATGTCAAATTAACAGGATTTGATGATGAGATTGAGGCAGAATAGGGGTTGGTAAACTATCACCATGGTCTAAATCTAGCTCATGCCTGTTTTTATAATGTTTTATTGGAGCACAGCTACACCCATTCATTGATATATTATCTATGGCTGCTTGAGTCTGAATAGTCTACAAAGACACTATCTGGTCTTTGACAGAGTTTACTGGCCATTAATGTAGAGCAAGCCTGTTAGGTTTGGGTCTCAGGCAACTGGAAGAATGCAGCTGCCCAAACCAGGGAGTGCACGATTGTGGGAGAAGCAGGTTTGGAGAGAGACGTTCAAAGTTCAGTTGTTAACATGTTAAGGCTGAGATTTCTGAGACATCCACGAGGAGATATCAGGTAGGCTGATCAAGAAACAAGTCTGAGTTCTGAAATCAGAACTTCCAGCAAAGGATGGTATTGAAAGCCAAGGGAACAGATGTAAGTAGGGCTAATTGGAGTGGATTGGGCTCTGGAAAAACAAACACAAATAGCTTTGCCTCTCCTCTCAAAGAAGGTGGGCATTAGAAATATGAACAGGGATTTCCATTGTTATGCCACACAGTCAGAGACCCGGGTAACCCTGGACTTTGGCCCTGGTAGTTCATACTGGAACCCAGCCCACTACTCATCCCTCTAGAGTACTTAGGGGGTCCCTATGGGTAGAGAAAGGAAGAGGCCTGAGATGGAGGCGGTCTGGATCATTCCAACATCGTGATGCTGGGATGTTGAGGAAAAGCCAGTGAAGAAAAGTAATGAACAGGCAATGAGGAGAGAGGGGAACCAAGAGAGTGGTATCCCGAAGGCTGGCGAAGGATTTTATTATTTGATGAGTTAGTAAAAATAGAGTATCCTGGTGAAGGTGTGTTTCTCATCTCCTATTCTCTAGGTTCCTCTGCCATCCTGAATGGTAGTACTGTTATTGGAGAGAACACAGGAGTCTTTCTGGGAGGGTTGCCGCAAAGTTATACCATCCTCAGGAAGGATTCTGGTGAGTTTAGTAAGGTATATTATATGTTGTCATCCAAAATTAAAATAGAACCAGTTTACATCATTTTAAAGTAAGAATAAGTATTATGTTCTACTTCATGCTATATTTTCTATATTAAGGTGCCAAAAATTTCCTTTAGGTCTCTGTTTTTTTTTTTAAAGGAACCGTGTATTCCATATGGCTTGTATTTATATTGTTAGTACCCAGTTCTTGATATATAAAAGGAATTCATTAAAACTTTTGCTGTAATGAATTATAATACTTTCAGTCAAAGGTATGTTATTTTAGGACTTATGCATCGTTTTTTGTAAGATTTTAAATTGAATGTGAAATAACACAGAAATGGAAAACTACGAGCTTGATTTATACTCTAAATAGGGTGAAGAACATTCCCTGAATACTATGTCATAGGCACTAAACCAATCCCTAGATATTCATAGATGAATAAAATGTGGTCTTTATCACAAGAGAGGTCACAGGCGTATAAACAGGTAATTCCAACCTAATGCCGTAAGTGCTATAACTGAGCTATAGACAAAGTGATTCTCATATTTTTAGAACAAGAGCACAAGAACATATTCTAAAATGCAACTAATTAAAACGAACATGAATGGAATTAACCTTAGGTAGGAAAAAAAAAAAATCATCCTTCAAACGCAAATGCTAATAATTCTAGGATTGTTTCCCAATGTTTCCCAAGTTCTCATTAAGAATCACAGGGTGCCTTCCAAGTCTCTCCCAGGAAGTTAAAATATAACTGCATAAATATTACAAATAAGCTAGGACCCAGATAAGTATAATTTGTTCATGGATTGTAGTCTTCAGGGAATCATGATGAAGATCAAGAGGAATAGAAAGTGTTCATCAAATTTCGGAGAAGGGTATAATTGAATTCTCAAGGCTGATTATCGTTACCTCCTCAGAAATGTCTCTAGATTAGACAGGGTTTTCATTCAACTACTTGAGACTGATAGAGAAGTCCCTCTAGCGCGCGTGCACACACACACACATACACACACACACACACACACACACCCTTTGTTTTTTGCCCTTCTGGGAAATAGTATTTTCAGGTACTAGAAGGAGAGAATACCCTGATACTAAGTACCCTTCCTGTAAAGGACACATCTCCATTATGAATGAACAATTTTACTTTGTCTATGTAAATTGGCCTTATAAAAACTCTCATAAACTCAAAGCTGAAAACTAAGCTTTGCCTTCATAGGAAAGGAGGTGGCTATGTGAAATTCGACTTCAGTGTGCCTTCTCCTCCTCTTGATTTTTTTCTTGCTTTTTCTCTAAATCACTCATTTGCACATTTTCTGTCTCAACCTTCTGTTATCACCCTATTCACTGTATTTATGAACCCCACATTTACCTGGTCTGGAGAGTTCCACATTCAACGTCAACACTATATACATTTCCAAAAAATGAAACCAAATTATTGATTTACTTCAGTAACAGACTGGTTCATAGATGAGGAATCTAAACTACAAACCACGTATTAAATAGAAACATTCGCTTCAAATCTAACTTTTAAAGTCGTAGTACTTTATCTTTGAGGCTAGTGACAGATGAATTTTCTGTGTTAGTTGAAAAGGCAATATTCTTGCTACTGCAAAACCAAGGTTTCTGCATAAACATCTGTTTCTGCAGATATGATGGGTTTGAACCAGTGCTAAACATTATAATTGCTATCATTTACTATAGCTGATGGTGTGGTGTTTACATGAATCATTAAGAGGCTTGCAGTAAATAGGTGGTGAGAGCTAGTGCCTATTTCTTTGATTTTAATGGCACATAAAATTAATTGCTTGAAAAGAATCTTTCGAAATACATATTTCTTGATATCTATAAACTCCTGCAGAGATAATCCAAAAGGGTTTTGTGGGCTGTCTCAAGGATGTACATTTCATGAAGAATTACAATCCGTCGGCTATTTGGGAACCTCTGGATTGGCAGAATTCTGAAGAACAAATCAACGTGTATAACAGCTGGGAGGGATGCCCCGCTTCATTAAATGAAGGAGCTCAGTTCCTAGGAGCAGGTAATGCTCTAAAAAAGACATGAGTGTTCACTTAAAATCTATGTTCTATCCTTTGTATAATTTAATCTCTCCTGTTTGATTAACTTGACCTCATACGAACCTAGTATCACAGAAATACCTAGTTATTCCAATGGTGCACACAAATATATTCTTGATGCCTGAATATGCAATATAAATTATAAGCCTCATAAGTATACATCCATGTATCATATCTCTGGTAGCCCATGCAGTTCTTGATTTACATATGTTAGCATCACCAATGTCCATTTGCAAGTCAATTGTTTGGAAACTAGAATACAGTTAGAGATGTGTACTTAGAATGCACTCAGAAAGATGTTTCAAAGAGTTTTGTTTACTAGGTTAATCCACAAATACCTATTTATCTCATTATATAGAAGAACAATGTTCTTAAGAGTTAATTCTCGGCTAAGTAACGGGTTAAGTAGGTCATTGAGAGAGAACTGGAGACTAGAACCACTATCCCTGCCATTGCTCAAAAGGCTACAATGAAAGGCGAGGTGTAAGTGTCTGTAGCTTAGCCCTGACACACACACTGAGTCTCTGCCTGATCAGAGCAGAGACTTCCACCCAGGGGAAGGGGAGAGGGATGATGGTGGCTTGGAATACCCGGCTTATTCATCAAATAAAAGCCCATCTCTGCCTCCTACATTTATAGCTAAGTTGGTTGGTTATTAAGTTGCTTAAACTGCCTTTAGCACAAAAAGACGTATGATATTAATAATATAATCTGCACATTTTTTATTGTTCTGTTTTCATCAAGGTCATTCTGAGTTTCTTTTAGTCAATGCAAACTACTTATTTTTAATACTTAACCTAAAACAGTAATAATCATACATGATACAGACAACACATGACTGAGAGAGCAAATTTCTTCCTCTTTAGAAAGTATAATATCAGAGCAAATTTCTTCCTCTTAAAAAGTATAATATCTATCAAAGTCTTTCTTAATATATCTAGGTCTTTCTGTCACTTCTGTACAATTAAAAAAGGGATTTCTTAACATTGATTTGCATCTTCTTTTGTGAGATTTACTCAGTGGCAGAATGTGTCCTAGAGTTTCTTATCACCCTTACAATGCTGACAATATTGTACTACACATGCTAACATGTATATGTTTTTATCTTTAAAGGGTTCCTGGAACTTCATCCGTATATGTTTCATGGTGGAATGAACTTTGAGATTTCCTTTAAGTTCAGAACTGACCAATTAAATGGATTGCTTCTTTTCGTTTATAATAAAGATGGACCTGATTTTCTTGCTGTATGTAAATTACTTTGATTAAAATTACTTTAAAATACTAGATCCAACTATAAAATAAATAAACCAAGTGTTGGCAGGCATTACACTTAATTGGGGTTTCTTTACAAATTCACATTTGTTTTCTTTTTTTTTTTCCCCAAAGTCATTTTTAGTATGGAAGTCCTGTGAAATATTTTGTATTTTATTATCCTAGTAATTTTTTAAAATGATAATTGTAACAATTATCATTTTAAGAAAACAGATTAGTTGTAAGGAATTAAGAAAATACAATTTAGTATCTTAAGATATGAAAAACACTATTTCCCTCATTATCTTTTGATATGAGTTTCAAAAGGATATATATTATATATTTTTCATATGACATATAGATAATCAAATATAATAATACAGTGAACACTCCTGAATCTACCACCACACCTGATAACTAAATATTATTATTTTTGGTCTATCTGTAAAGTCTTTCCTATCGTGTTTCCATCTTCTTTTAGATGTCATATGTAATCAGAATTTTGTGTTTGTTATTCCCATGC